AATTATCAGTTTATTGAAAAAAATCTCCTAACTCACTGCTGTGATGTACATTTTTACTGTTGTAGGTACGCCAACCTGTATAAGTCCCCTAACAAGCAAGAAATGACTGTGCCATACCAGATTACGGTAGGTATCACAACACTGGCTCAAATGAAAAAAAACCCACATTTGTCTCTAAATCTGTGGCAAGCCACTGTACTTGTAGGATTTTGTTTTTTCTGACCGACTACAGATGGACGGATTGAGGAGTGTTCCGAGATCAGAGGATGAACTACAATCAAGATTGTCACTCAGATGCAAAGATGCTCCAGCCGGACATGACGATGGACACTCAAACCCTTCCAAGAGACCCAGACCGAATGAGAATCAAAGATGACACTCTCTGTCGGTATGGTAACCAATGGTTCCAAGGTTAGCATTCAGAATCGGTCATAGGAGACAGAAGCACACCTTTGAACTCACAGAACCTTAAAAGTCTTCGCCAGTCTGTGTGAATTTGACATTGGTGGAAAATGTGTTAAAGTGTAGCAAAGGAAACCATTTCAGTGGGAAGGTGCCGTCACGTTCACAAGCGTGATCTGTCCCTCAGGAGCAAGAAATCAACTGATGTTTGCCAATCTCCTCAGGTAATTCTAACCAGAGCAAAATCACCGTACACATTGTTGAATTGAACTAACATTCATAGCATCTACACTGTACTTCCAAGTTGCCGATGCACAAATCTTTTTCCTACTCCCGTGTGGAAGGAAGCATGGAGACATGCCAGCAAGTAGACACAGCATGATCCAGTTTTGTCAGAAAATAGAGGTCTTTGTTCTGTTTGATTAAGCAAAGCAAGATGCTAAGAGTGGACCTCGTAGGGATGAGGTTGTCCAGAATGTTTGTTTGTAAAACTGTACACAAGATATGGACCATGTGACCTGTGTTACCATGCCAACGGCCAACGATGTGACAACTTGAACCTTCTGCAAGGTTATTTTTCCTTACGTAATTTGTGAGAGACATTACATATGTATGCAACGCAGAAGAGAACGTTTGCCGAAAGTTGGCATCACGGGATCACAACATCCAAGTTTGGAAACAGATAACTTTTATACTCTGTGAAGCATTCTCCAGAGCTGTCTCTAAACACTGGCCAAAAAATCAAACAAACATCAAGTGTTCAAAACCACGTAGATGAAAATTGGTACAGAAAAGGAGAGATCTTTCAATATTTCGACAACACCAAAATTATCGTGAGCTCAAAACGTACATATTTATTAAACCTATTTACAAGTGCTTACATGAAAGAGTGTATCGTTCATTCATTGGTGTTTATAAAGCATTGCGTGCCAAATAAATTAGCAAAGAGGACGGATTTGTTTATTTAACAAATGGCATTTGAGCAAAAGATCAATGTGGTATTTAAACTACTGCAGGCTCAGTGTTAAAAATTGTTATCTGCATTTGCAACTTTTTGAAATGTACATTTGAAGACACACAACTTGGTCAGAAATTGTCGCTATTCATGACTTTTGTGGGGAAACTTTTTTGGGGTCAGGCAACATTTTACTCCTGTGCAGTAACCAACTCTGTAAAACAATTGACATTTCTGCCAATGCCGCATTCTTGCTACATAGAGAAAAATTGGTAACATTTATGCATGAAGAATAGTTTGTTTACTCAGATGTTCAGACTTGATATTGTACACAGGAATCATTGCATAGCCTCCTGTGGAGTCGTGTGCAGTGTACCTTGGTGAAAAGGCTATGCATGAATTTGGGGGCTTAGATACGATTTAGATTTTTGAAAGTGAGGCTAGACTGGCATAACATCATGTACAACCAAGAGAGGCAGGTAGTCGGGTACCTCTTGGAGACAGCCATTTCTGCACTTTTGATTCCTGAGTGGAAAGGTCACCAGATTCCAACTGCTCGATGTGGTTCCTACTTTTTCTTTCCCTTGCTTGATCCCCTCCCACTCTTGGTTCCGCCTACCCCGTCGACACTGGCGAGCTTCTTCTGCAGGACTTCGTCGTTGAGCTGAATCTGTTCATCTAACGACAGTCGCAACCTTGATATCTCCTCGTTCAGTTGAGAGGTGATCAACTTTCGTAACTCCTTCTGTGCAGGTGTTTCTTCTGAGGAGAGTCAAATTTAACGTGCATGTTACTTTAATTGATTCGCTAACCCTCCTATGCTGAAGTCACTCTTTGGGTCAACACCTCAAAGAAGCACAGCTGTGTTGTGTTGTGCACTGCACT